GTGTGCATTTTTACCACTACTGAAAAGTAAAGTGAAGGATGTATCAGATGTGCTTTCTCTGTTTAGCTTGAGGTTAGTGACTGTGACAATGTTTAAATTCCATTGCACTGTTTTCTCTAGAGATTTGTAATTAAATCTTTGAAAGAAGCAGTGCCTTTTTATTACTAGTGGTCCAGAAATAGATTCAGAAGCAGAAAAATATGCAGTAGAATATCATTATATCTTCATATAAATTAACATTAAAATGTTCTGATTCATATCTCTGCAGGCTTTTGTCAATCAACAGTATTCATGTATTTCTGAGGAGAGCACAGGGTAGAATATTTCAGGGAACAATGAAAGCCTTACTGCTTATTTAAGGCACATGGTTTTGGAAAACCAGTCTTTTTTTTTCTGCTTGTTTATGGATTCTATAAGATTTTGCATTTGTTATTTTCAGGTAAATATTAAGAAAGGATAATGACATCGCTATTTTTAAATTAAACTGAGCATTACAAAGCATTTCTGTCAGGAATATATTTAAAAAAATAACAAATTATAATTTATTTTAATTTTGCCTGGGAATTTTATTCAATACATTCATCCATATACAAGTGCTAGTTCAGTTTGCAATCAATCTTTCAGCCTTTTTTGAAGATCTGATTGTAGTGGAAGATAGATCCCTGTTCAGCCAAAGTTCAGAAATATTTTCTTCTCTTTTTAATACTTCTAAGAATTCTTCAAAGAAAATTGATAGCTAATGAAAGCAAATCTGAGGGGGTCAGTTGATTAAAAAATGACCATTTAGTCAATCAAAAAGAAGTTAAGGCAAAAATGTATATATGCTTGCTTCTGCACATCGGCATTCTGCAGCTGTCAGGCTTGAGGAATTTAAATGGAGCAAATTTAAGGTCAGCTCTCCTTTACCTGGTATTTATAGATTGTCTCATGAGATTACAAGCTGAGTCAGGGACAGTTTGTAATCTCATGAGACAGTGGGGGTGAAGAACACTGATTTGAGAAGTCTGAAAAGTAAAATCAGTTACAAGACCGGGACAACATGTATGTTTGTGGGTATATATGCGACTATATATTTGCACATGAAGAGAAACAAGAAACCTCCCTGATGGAAAGGCTATGCCACCACTAGGTGTCATTCTTGTTCCATGTTTTCTGTTAGCCATATGTCAAACAACTAGTCAATAGGGAGTTTCTAAAAATTTTAAGTTTTTATACCCCTAACATTTTATGTCTGGTAGTTTTATTGTGTGCCCTACTGTCCACTAGGGCTTATACTGCAATACATATTTTCTTTCAGCCCAGATTATTATTGTTCTTGTCAAAAGTCATCACCTTACTTAGCATTGATGCTTTCATGAATTCTCTAAAACAAAAATGCTGTAATAAACAGTAAACATAGTTGGCCTGACTGTGTCATTATCTGTGCATGAAATGTTAAGTTCTGGTGGTCTTAACACTTACTTAAAAGAAGTTCATTATATACTTCCAAATAGTGTTTGGATAAAAATAATGTGTAATTCAAAATGCTTAGTCAGATTCACTACATGTTAATTCTTAAGTAAATGGTTAAAGTTTTTAATTGAGATTTTAGCATGTTATACCATATTTAAACCTTTATTGAATTATTTTGAAACCAAGAGGTTTGTCGCTTCATTTTCTTTAATTTTAGGGTTTTCTGCTCTTCCATTAAGCCTATTTTAAGCCAGTTTCTAGGTATCTGTTTTTTCATTAGTTTCAATTACCCTTGTTATTTTTATCGAAGGTTCATCAACATTCAGTGTTTAAACAGGACAGAATGGCTGCCGTGGAATTAGGCAAATATGACAGGGTATTAAAATGATATTGCAAGGTAACAAACATATCCTGGTATTAGATAAAAGCTGAATACTGTTTAGGGTGGCTTCTCTCCCTGTATATCCATGCACAGCTGGTAAAAAGACTTAAGATACCTTTTAGACCTTCAGAAGTTTCTGGGGGTTTAAAAATGTATCTCTGACACATCAGTGATTTCTTTTCTAAGGGCAATCACATCAGTATTTTATCCAGGTGAAACAATCTGCTTGCATGTGTTCTATTTACAGACTGTCGTGACATCCTTTAAGGTTTAAATTATCTACTTGATATTCTTAAGTAATGGCATAAACATACATTTGATAACATCCAGCAAATTGAAGAACATTCACTTTAGCTCAATAGTTCCCTTATTTCTGTACATTTAGATGCATGAATGATAAGTTACTATAGATATTCACAGTGCAAAATGTTTTTGTATATATTCTGAGCTCTTTGCTGCTGCAGAAAAGGATAGCTGTTAGCCCTGAAATATCAAGGAGGGGGTTTGGCAGGGGAGCAGAAAAAGGGAGAGAGTAAGCAAAACTCAAAACATGCTCCTTCAAAGTTAATTCATTTATATCTACTGTCTGTTTTTCAAAACTGTAGTGAAATAAAGCTAGTTGGAAAACAAAATGCTGAATAATACTGAGTGAAGGTATTGGGTAGCTTGGATTGCAATTCTGTTGGTTTACTGGAAATAACTACCACAGAAAGAAATCAGGTTTTGTTTGTTGTTATTATAATAAGCACAAGTAGAACAAGTTGAACACTAAGACTGACCATTCTTATCAGGTTTAAAGCACTTCATTAGAACACCAAAGGGAATTCAAATTGCGGTCACTTACCCTCATCTATTCTGTTACAATTATACCTACTTTAATTAGAATCTACACAACTCCATGAGAAAACAAATTCATTTTCTATTCTAAGTGAACTTTGACTTGCATTTAAAGGTATTGTTTTAAAATATATTAGAAAAACATATTGGGTCTCTTTGCGAACAGCTCCCTGTCATGAGATTTCTGAATGAGTAACGCTGCTCCACTTAGGAAGTCGTTTATGTGTGTGCGTGTTTGTTTGAACACATGGTGTATGTCAGACTTGAAGGACACAATTTTCATAATTTGCTATATTTTCTTAATGGCAGAGACACTGTTTAAAAACAAGTATCTGAAAACTGAAACACAGGTGCTACTTAATTGTGCCACACATGTATTAAAGCTTGACACACACCATACAGACCATACATATCTGATGACTTATTTGTACCTCTTCTTGCTTAGATCATCTTTGTACTTTGCCTTCAGGGCCCCCATATCGAGTAAAGACTTTTTCTGGGAGGTGTATACATCATACGTATGGGTGGGCTGCTGCTTTATGCAAATGTTTCTGCAGCTGCAACTCTGTCATACATTCTCACACAAGGTACACTCACTATTCTTTTTACCCCATGAAGTTTAGAAAAGATTCAGCCATGTTGATGCAATTTGCTTCCAAGAAAACAGTGCATGTTAAAGGGAGTGCCATGTTTTTTTCTGTTGCCATATAGCTGCAGTATTTTAAGTTGGACCATAAGGTACCCCATGAATTAATCTGCTTCCTTTTTGCTCATATGAGGTGTCTTGATTCTGTAGGAATTATATTCTGTGTTCTCTTAATGTGAATGAACAACCTTCCATACAGACCTCTAAGTGGTAAAACGTGAGTTAATTGCATGCTCATTAGCTAATAAAACTGGGTCATTGTGAGATAATTTCTTACACAATTAGTCAAAGGAAGCAAAAATTCAGATATCATCTCATGTCTGACCTGGTGGAGAAAAGTTACATCAACTACTGAAGTGCCTGTATCATCTGAGATTTTTATGTGATGGCTAGGGTAAAGTTTTTGGTTCGTGGTGGTGTGTTTGAAGCTATGCTGTCAGCTCACATTTGCTCTTTAAAGACACATCTATCCAGAAGCCTTTTCCAATGGGTACTTATCTGTATAAACCACATTCATCTCTGTGATACGTGACATTTTCTCAGCATTAAATAATTAAAATTTTGTGCCACATTTAGTGCAGTGAAGAAGGGCATAACATGGACAGCTGTTTGACTGAATTGTCTGCTTCATAGTGTCCAAGACAGTTACCTACAACTTGCAAACAAGTGGAAGGCTATGAACTTTCTATTTCTGTAATAAATTTACTTTTGAGTATCAAAGGAGATAAATAAAAATTTAATTTTAGAAGGATACAAAATTCCTGTCTTTCTTAAATAGATTGTACAGACTGACATGTAAACTTGCTTGTGTAAACTGTGTAACATTAACAAAAAAATTATTGGGACTTTTTGTGAACCTTTTTTGATGAACAAAATCTTTTGAGTATTTGAGATGAGATTTCCTAGAGGCAGATATAGAAAAGGCAACAGAAGGTTACAGAAGTGTTGATGATGTGTCATGGATGGAGGCAGAAGGCAATTGTCTGTCAGGAAGAGACTCAAGCATGCGTAATTATATCTTCACACCACTCCTAAAAACTGAAATATTGCTGGAAACCAGATGACTGTGGATGTGTATCTTTATACTGACTGTATTCCACATTAGGTAATGAGGGACTACTTTATATACTCCTAGCTTTATGGACTCTGAACAGTCTGTGTTGTCTTCTGTAGGGCAATATGTAAAGTTAGAAATGAAGGAATTGAGTCACCTGATGAATTTCAGGTGCTTATGTCCTTTTAGTAAAATAGGGTAAAACTTTAATGGCATTTAATAATATCTCTAGAAAATAGATTTCATATTTGAAGATACAAAAATAGGAATGTTTAGTTTCTGACATATAGAGATGTTAACAATAAATATATGCTCTCCTAAATTTTGTCTTTTTTTACATTCCTCTTGTAGCTTTTGTTTAACTTCAAGCTCCATCTCTTCAAATTCCTTTGCTGACTCTCTGCCTTTGTGGTGTCTAGAATTTAATTGCTGTAGTCTGGTCTCCATTTCTCATTGAAAGTGAGACGATAGTTGAGAAAGACCAACTACCAGCTGCGGCTTTCGGGGGTCACTTGCGGCTGTCCCCCGTCCCTCCCCGGCCCCCCGGGACCCCTCCGGCTAGCTGTCCCTTCAGGGGACCGGGGTTTGCCGCGGTCCCGCTGCACTGGGCTCACCAGGCAGCGGCTGGGTTAGCATGGTCCGAGCAGCGGTGCACCTCGGTCGCCGCAAGGAGTCGAGATAAAGAGACGAAGAGAGGTCAATTGTGTGCAGTCCTTCTGGGCTCTCACTTCCCAGTAATGCTGCCCACTTTCAATAGCAGTGTCTCCCAGCACTGTGTAGGATTCACCAGCAAAGCGATCCCGGCTGCCCCTCGCCGAGGCTCTTGGGCTGTTAGTGGATCTCTTCGGAGACGCTGTGTTGCTTCTGTTTTTATTTTCTTTCCCTTTTATTTTTTCTTGGCTTTTGCCTCCAGTAGAATCCCATTCAACATAGGTGTCTTCAACTTTCAAGTTCAGATGAGATGAAGTACTGTCCAAACTGAACACAAATGCTTTGGTTTCCAGAGTCACAGGGTCCGAGTATTCACCTGCCACTGCTTTGTTGCAAGCTTGCACTCTAAGGTTCATGTATTTTGTATCAAATTTCAAACCTGATAATGTGTATTGAGTAGCTTTAATGTAGTCAACCAGCTCCCAGCGCTGCTCCCCTTTTAGTCATGGGGGCCCATCAAAGTTGGTTTTCCTATACTCCAGCACAAAATGATCAATTCTGCTGTCCTCCTCAGGCATTCTCGATGACATTGTTATGCAGTTGTCAGCAACCAGACATGCTACTACATCTATCTCTGGAGCTTTAGGGTCTGGCAAAAACTTCACAGCTTGGAGCATCTGCTTTTCCAGGGTGAAGTCCACCATCATATGAGTCATACTGTCACTGACTTTTGGTTTCAAAGAGAGGCGGAATGCTGAAGCCACCGTGACACTCTAAGAGCTCCACAGGGTTCTTTATGTCCAGTGACTGCACAGCAAGTTCCAGCAGCTCTTCTGAGTTCTCCAGGGCACAGCTGCACTGGCTCAGCTGATCCTGCAGAGCTTGAATTTTACGAGCTTCTTCTTGCTGAATAGTGTTGGCCATGCTCTCCTTCATCTCATGTAGGACAGAATACAGACCATCAAACTCCTCATTCAGCTCACTGATGGCATGAAAGGAGTTTACCTGAACATTTGATAGTGTATGGTTCAGCATGTCAATGAAGTTGCGAATTTCATCATTTTTGTTCACTAGAGTACTGACAATCCTTTGCAGCGTCTCCTAAATGTATCTTTTCCTCAGTTTCCAATTCCCAAGGCCTTTCTAAATCCCTTCCTCCACACTACCGCGGCAGCGCGATAGCAACATCTCCCTCTTCTTTACTTAATAAGATGAACGGTGCCTTGGGAGAAGGTAAAACTGCGGCTCTCAAACTGCAGTGTCTTTCTGCTTGTCGTCTTCCCACCAATCGCCCTCCATGGCGGCAGCAGCGATGAGAACAGGTGCGGAAGCCTTAGGCTTTCGAGGTGATGACTTTGGAGATTATTCGCTTAAGAATCCCAAATGCTAACAGAACTAAAAACAGTGCAACTAGAAAGTAAAAGATGACTTTTAAAAGAGACACTGCCCCCCCAGAAAGGTCCCAGTCTTTGAACAGATCCTTAAACCAATCCTCATTTTCTTGCTTCACACTCCCAATGAGGCTTCTCATTTCCTGAATGGACGAGTGGACACTCTGGCCTTTAGATGACAGATCAAAACAACACAAACCATCAAACTCTTTACATCCATGACCATGTGCCAACAGCAGGAAATCAATAGCTGCCCGATTTTGGAGGGTAGCCTTTCTGGTTATTTCCTCGTCTTCTAGGAGGTCACTCAGGGCTGCTGATGTTAAATTTGCCTGCTTCGTCACCCAGCATTCCAGATTGCCTAATTCACTCAATGCTTTTGCTGCCGCAACCCATGGTAAAAACACAGAGACGGCAACTCTTTTGGATTTTGCCCAATGGTAAATTTCTGCATCACAATGTTCATCAAATTGACTTGCACTTCGCTTAGTAATTTTTGTCTCACCTTTTGCTCGCCCGATTGGAATTTGGGTCATGTTGGGGGAAGCAAGGGTCAGATGCCCGAAAGTGCATGGACCTCCAATAAGACGAGAGGGGATTCCTGGGTATGCTCTGTCCCCACAGATAAGAAACACTCCTTTGTCCAGCTTGCGGGGACGGAAATCAGTGGTGGATGCAAATTTCAGCTTATAGACAGCTGTGCACCATTGATCCGCCCTGAATTCCACCTTGTACTGTTTGACTTGCTCATATAGTTTTACTTCTTTGGTTGGGGAAAAATCAAATTGAATGCAATATTCAGCTTTTGCGGAGCCCAGGAGTTCTAATTCCTGGGGCTCTCCCTCAGCAGAGGGCAAGTGTAGGATCCACTTTTGCCACAAAATGAGGGGGTTTTGCACTGGTATTTTAACTTGTTCTACAGCTCCTCAGTGCCTATAGAACTCTGCCCGCATCTCAGGTATTTTATTTTCGTTCACCTGCTTTTGCGGGCGGACCAGACCAATTGGGAACTCATCCCCCTTACTTGGAACCCCTACTAAACATGTGGACATCGGATTTTCTGCTGAGGCAGTAGACAAACACATGTGATCTTGTTTCAAGGCTTGGGCGAGTGTGACCCACACATTTTTCTTGGGCTGTGGAACAATCCACGCATCCACCGTGTACGGGTAGATGGCCATTTTCTGGAACCAAACGATGAGCATGAATGTGGAAATTGACATTCTGCTAGTCTGAAAGAAAGATAAAATCATATAACAAGGTAAACTAACTCTGAAAAAGGTACAATTTGCTCTGCCAGTATAAAGGAAAAAGATTCCCCCTGCTCCCACTTTCCCCCCTTGTTAAGGAGGAGGCCCTGCAGACCCCGGAGTCCTCGGGGTTGCTGCTGCTGAAGCAACCACCCTTTCCCGTGGACTTATCACTGAGTCCTCTGTCATTAGTGTGGCTTTTCTCGTGCACTCCTCAGTGAGCTGATCGAGTGTGGGTAGAGGCGATGCTGGAAAAGCCAGGATGACTCGTCGACAGGCTTAATTTGCATTTGTGGTGGCAATTTCTAATGTGAGCTGGTCTTGGAGCTCTGGATTTTGCACCCTTTTCTCGACTGAAGCTCTCACTCGATCCACAAAATCCATGACCGGCTCTGCAACAGACTGCTTCAAAGCGGTGTAAGAAATGATAGGTTCTTTAGAAGGCATGTTAAAAAATGCACGTTCTGCCGTATCCCTGGACAGGTCTAACACTGATCTGGGAATGCCTGCTGCTTGCTTCTCAGCTTGGCTCCAATCACCCTCACCCACTAGATGTTCTAAGGTGATTTCCTCATCCTCTATATCTGTGGAATGGGTTGGACTCTGCAAAATCTCTGGAAGGAGGTCTCCTGCAAGCCTTTTCCAAGTTCTTTCCCACAATCTAAATTCAGAATGAGGGAGCAAACAGCGGAAAAGACGTTTCAAATCAGCAGGGACAAAAGTTTTGGAACCTAGAGTAGCTTTTAAAATGCTCTTAAAAATTCACTCCTTTCTCCAAATTCACGTTTTGTTTTGCAGAGTTCCCTGATACTGTCGTATGAAAGGGGCTCCCATCTAGGGTTTTGTCCTCTCGCATTATAAACCACTGGGGCCATGAACGGAGGATCGGTGTCTCTGGCCAGTTTCTGTTTCCCGGAGCCGACAGTTCCGGAGCTGGCAGCTCCGGCGCTGCTGCTGCCAAGGGAAGCAGGAGCGAGAGGGGGGGCGGCTTGTGTGGGAGTGCCTGCAGCTGGAGGGGCCGTGTGGAGCGGGGCAGGGGCAGGGGGTGGTGATGGAGCTGCGAGGGGAGGAGCTGAGGGCTGGACCGTGGGCTGAATCGCCGCAAGGGAGGAGGGATTGGGATTGGGGATGGGCAAAGGGAGGGACACGAGGGCTGGGGGTGTGTTCTGGGCTGGCACGGGGAGCAAGGAATTCTGGGATGGAGAAGGGAATGTCGCGTGGCCGCCTCCATCTTGTGGTGGCTGCACGAGGGGGGTGGGGGGTGCAAAGCATGGATTTTGAGCTGCGGGAGCGGAATCATGAGATGGAGAGGGGTCAGGAACTGAATCTACATCTGCGCGGTTAGTTTTTTCAAAGCTGGGGACGCGGGGGGTTACAGGGGACGCAATGTGACGCTTTTCTGTTCCCCGGGCGTCCCGAGTGTCTGCACTCTCTTTCACAAAGTCATAAACGAACAAAAAGATTCTCATAAAACCTTCTTTCACTGAGGGATCTCCTGCCTTTGTCCTTTCACTCAACACTGCACCCACACGCTTCCAAAACTGTCTTTCTGTCACTTCTTGCTCTGTTACCTCCGAAAAACTTACTGTTACCCATCTGACAAACTCTTTCACCAGGCTCTTAGGAAGTTTTGCACCTGCTCTCTGCAGGGGTTCTTGAACTTGTTTATAAATCTCTTTCTGCTGTGTAGTCAGCGTAACACCCATCGCTGGCAGCACAGCAAAATCTCACCCAGCTGCTGCAGCAAAAACCCCAAAGTTCTAAAGACCCGGCGGAGCTCCCGACACCCCTGCGCGCTGGCGTGTCCCCCCTTGGGCACACGGGAGCCTGACTCCAGTCTCCTGGCCGGACCCTCCCCGCCAGTACCGAGACTTACCCACCGCCGTTCTTTAGAAAACACACTGCAGCAACGGTTCCCGACTCCGCAAACAGTCTTCCGGGTGTTAGGAAGGTCCCGTCCGCATCCACGGACACAGTGCAGGACAGAAATCGGCGCCTCTGTCCCCGCGGTGGCAGTCCTGCCGGGTTGTGTGGAAGGGCGAGTGCCCCACCACCAGCGCGGTCCGAGAGCTTCTCTCCACGGAGCTGACAGCCTGCGTGGCGGTTTTTTCGCACCGCTCGCCGCTCTGTCGCTCGCGGCGACACAGATCGCAAAGTGTCCGGAAAAGCTCCCAACCGGTGAACTGCCCGCGGCGGCCGTGGCGTGTTCGCTCAAACCGGTGCAATGCCCCCACGTTGGTGTGCCACTTGCGGCTTTCGGGGGTCACTTGCGGCTGTCCCCCGTCCTTCCCCGGCCCCCCGGGACCCCTCCGGCTAGCTGTCCCCTCAGGGGACCGGGGTTTGCTGCGGTCCTGCTGCACTGGGCTCACCAGGTAGCGGCTGGGTTAGCACGGTCCGAGCGGCGGTGCGCCTCGGTCGCCGCAAGGAGTCGAGATAAAGAGACGAAGAGAGGTCAATTGTGTGCAGTCCTTCTGGGCTCTCACTTCCCAGTAATGCTGTCCATTTTCAATAGCAGTGTCTCCCAGCACTGTGTAGGATTCACCAGCAAAGCGATCCCGGCTGCCCCTCGCCGAGGCTCTTGGGCTGTTAGTGGATCTCTTCGGAGACGCTGTGTTGCTTCTGTTTTTATTTTCTTTCCCTTTTATTTTTTCTTGGCTTTTGCCTCCAGTAGAATCCCATTCAACATAGGTGTCTTCAACTTTCAAGTTCAGATGAGATGAAGTACTGTCCAAACTGAACACAAATGCTTTGGTTTCCAGAGTCACAGGGTCCGAGTATTCACCTGCCACTGCTTTGTTGCAAGCTTGCACTCTAAGGTTCATGTATTTTGTATCAAATTTCAAACCTGATAATGTGTATTGAGTAGCTTTAATGTAGTCAACCAGCTCCCAGCGCTGCTCCCCTTTTAGTCATGGGGGCCCATCAAAGTTGGTTTTCCTATACTCCAGCACAAAATGATCAATTCTGCTGTCCTCCTCAGGCATTCTCGATGACATTGTTATGCAGTTGTCAGAAACCAGACATGCTGCTACATCTATCTCTGGAGCATTAGGGACTGGCAAAAACTTCTGTCGTGGTTTGACACGGAAAAAGAATTTTTCCGGAAGGAAGAAGTCAATTTGGACATTGACCAATTGAAGGTGGACACGCCTCTGAGAACACAGAGGGGTTAAAAGCAGAATTCCCAGGAGAACTCGCTCTCTTGGGTTCCGGTCAGCGGTCAGTGCAGACTCTCCCCTGCCCAGCGATGAGCTGGGTGGGGGAGGGGAGAAGCCATGTGGCCTTTGGAGGTAGGCCCAAGGGTGGAACCAGGCTGGCCCCCTGCAGATGGAAGGGTGGAGAAAATCTGGGATGTCTCCGTTTCTCCCCAGAGTCTCTCTCTCTCCCAAGAGAGAAAAAAGAGACAGCGGTGGTTTTGCCAGCAGTTCACCGCGGGGAAGGAGAAGAGCGGGGGGGCCGCAAGGTGTCCAGCCGGGCTGTGGGAGCTGGAGCCTGGGCAGCGAGCCATCTCTGGGAGTTGGGACTTTTAACCCTTCCTGAGAAATGAAAGCTTTGTGAAATTTTTCTCCTCCTTGGTTTGAAAAAGAGAGGAAGAGAGACAGCCTGGGACCCAGGATGTTGGAAGGAGAAATTCTAGGTGGGAGGAGATGATGGAGTGGCTGTTTGGCTGGACTTTTTCTTGGTAGCCACAGATTGAACTGATCTTCTCTTCCAAGAGAGACTGTATTTTAGGAGGATGCTGGTGAGCCAAAGAGACCTGCTTCAGCTGGGAAAAGACAGAAGTGGAGCGAACAGAGAAAAGTTAGGGAGGTTTGTGGTGGTGCCCCCTGTCTTCAGAGAGGAAGAAGAGAAGAAGATCTCTATTCGTGGATCCTCGGCCCCAGGGGAAAATGGGGGGGACTGCTGGTCCCAAAAAATGAAAAACTGAACTGTTGTTTTTTCCCTCTTGGCAGGGCATCCTTGAAAGGAAAAATCCTAAAAGCAGTCTGTCCATCCATGCATTGGTGGTGAGAACACGCATGGAAAGCAGAGGGTCACCACTGGCAAACTTTTTTCTCCGGGCGGTGCCATGTGGTGACATGGAAGCACAGGATGTGGCATCTGTGTTTCTTGGGGCATCTGTGGCACAAGAGAGACTCCTCTCTCCCTGCAGATGGACTGGGAGTTGATTATCTGGAGGGTGGAAACCTGATTGGGGTCCAGATTGTGTCTCACTGTGGTTTGTTGGAGTTGGGTGGTGGGAGGAGGAATGCTTTGGAAGGTTTTCATTTTGAATGGTATGTGTTTCTTTCTTCCCCCCCCCCCCCCCCCCCCCCCCCCCCCCCCCCCCCCCCCCCCCCCTTTTATAGTAGCATAGTGGTAGTAGTTTAATAAAGTTTTTTTCCTGTTATTAAGCTTGGGCCTGCTTTGCTCTGTTCTCGATCGCATTTCACAGCATTCAGTTGAGAAATTGCATTTTCATGGGGGGCACTGGCATTGTGCCAGTGTCAAACCATGACAACTTCACAGCTTGGAGCATCTGCTTTTCCAGGGTGAAGTCCACCATCATATGAGTCATACTGTCACTGACTTTTGGTTTCAAAGAGAGGCGGAATGCTGAAGCCACCGTGACACTCTAAGAGCTCCACAGGGTTCTTTATGTCCAGTGACTGCACAGCAAGTTCCAGCAGCTCTTCTGAGTTCTCCAGGGCACAGCTGCACTGGCTCAGCTCATCCTGCAGAGCTTAAATTTTACGAGCTTCTTCTTGCTGAATAGTGTTGGCCCTGCTCTCCTTCATCTAATGTAGGACAGAATACAGACCATCAAACTCCTCATTCAGCTCACTGATGGCATGAAAGGAGTTTACCTGAACATTTGATAGTGTATGGTTCAGCATGTCAATGAAGTTGCGAATTTCATCATTTTTGTTCACTAGAGTACTGACAATCCTTTGCAGCGTCTCCTAAATGTATCTTTTCCTCAGTTTCCAATTCCCAAGGCCTTTCTAAGTCCCTTCCTCCACACTACCGCGGCAGCGCGATAGCAACAACCAGCTATTCCTGCCAGTGATTTTCTGCTTCTCCCTCCAGTTATTCTTGCTATATGGCTTTGCATTAGGCTGTGGGTAGTGGTCCAGCAACTGTCATATAAGCGAAATCAAGTTTAATTCTCTGGATCTGCAGCAGAGTAGAAAGAACTGTAGGAAAATATAGACTTCTTCTATGATGTTTGCCTAAATTAAAATGCATTTTATAGAATGTAGTTCTTGCATGAAGACAGAAGTGGAAAAGAGGAAAAATATTATTCGGTTCACTTTTGTTCTGAATGCAAAAAAGTAATAGCTCATTGGGGCTGTATGAGGAAATATAATACAAAACAAAAGCAAAACATGGAGCATACAATGTCTATTAATACTGAAGAGATCTACTGGGCCTATAGTCTTTAATTAGAAAACACTATACAGAAATGTTAAATAATCAATTGAACATTAAACCATTTATTTTTTTAGCTACTTGCAGCCAATTTTCTACTGTTAGCTGAATCTATAGCACAGTCTCAAAAGAATTCACTACCTTTGATCTCCACTGAAATTAGAAGGACAAATTCTGGTGTGCTGAACCATGTATTAAGTAAGGCAATTAAGCCCAAATTAAAAAACTAACTGCTGCTAATCACTATCAAGACTGGCAGTGTGGTCACTGATATAATAGATTCACACAATACCTTCTGTAATCACGGTTGTAGTTGAACATAAAGGCCTTTGGTCCAAGGACACCTTTATTTCAGATTTGGATCTGATGTATCTCTTCTATGAGGAAAAGTTGAGACACCTGTGATTGTTAAGCCTAGGGAAGAGAAGTCTCAGAGGGATCTTGTCAACATATATAGCCACTTGAAGGGGGATGCTGAGAAAAATTAAGCTAGGCTGTTTTTAGTGGTGCCCAGTGACTAGAGAGGCAAGAGACAATGGGCACAACTGAAACACAGGATGTTCCATCTGAACATCAGGAGACACTTTTCACTCTGAGGGTAACTGAGCAGAACCACAGGTTGCCCCAGAGAGGTTGTATGCTCTCTCTCCTTGGAGATACTGAAAAGTCCTTTGGACAGGGTCTTGGGCAACTGGCTCTAGGTGGCCCTGGTTGAACAGTTAGGCTGATCCAGATGATTTTTGGAGGTCCCATCCAATCACTACATGATTCTGTAGTTTATCTACCAATTTTATTCTCATCAATAATTTCTGTTGGTGATATAACAAAGGGAAGGTTAAGGTGAAAGCTTAGAAAACGCAACCTCGCTGCTTGTAATAGAACTTTAGTGATATTTATATTGACATGTAAGAGTCGATTGATTCTAGTTTGAGTTCTGATCAGTCAGTTGCCGAATGTCTCTTTATTTAAAAGCTCTGTCTTGCCTTATGCAAAATATAAGTGATGATTAGTTACAAAGTGACAAGCCTAGGCCTATCTCTAATCTGTTCCTATACTTTCTAAGCCACACAGATTCTGCTGTAAGAGAAAATATCGCTGTCAGGGTCAACAGATGCACTAAAAGTGATGTGGCCATGGAAACAACTTAATTTCCTTTATCTTTGGGGCAGGAATATGATGGAGGCATGGACAGATTTTTGGCTCTGCTCTCTCTGATTTGTGAATAGGTGGACCATGAAGGTCAACCTACTACCTTGTGTGTGCATTAAATTATATACAAATAAGTACTTGCCGATCAAAACCTACTAGAAACCTTATCTCCAACCTGTCAAGTTACAGAAAATACATCTCCAGAAAGCATAGTTTCCTGCAATTTAGAAGACATGCTAAATTTGTGTTTATTATGTTCATAATTAAAGAATTGAGAAACACACAGAAATACTGCTTTATTTCAGCCTCCTGATGGAAACTACTCTACTGGCTCATTCCTAGATACATAAGTTACTTAAGATGAACCATTGGGTATGCAATAGCTAACAATTCTAACAAAATCTCTTAGGAAGAGTCATCCTCCAAGATGACTGATAAATTTCTCCTGAAGCATCTCCAAGAACTAGGCCTTGTGGTGTTTACTGCCTCTTTTAATCCCATAACAAATCATATTTGTTTGATTCAGGGAAAGTTAGAAGAAAAACTAAGTTCTTCCTGTATATTTATATTTTATATGGCATTTTTCTTTCTTTAGAAATATTCTTAACTATTATATAAGCCTTGAGGGCTTATATAATAAGCAAGGCAAGGCTGAAAATGCCCTAAGGGCTTATATAATAAGCCCTGAAAAATTTAGAATTTTACCAGAATTTTACTGCTGCAGAAGATTCTGGTTCACTGTACTCTATGATGGCAACATCTCACCATTCATTGCTCATTTTAGATCAATAAAAGCTATTTTGGAATCGTAGCCAATTAACAACTCTACACAATTCAGCTTACTTAATCTAATAATTACTGTATTTAGTGGCATACTCATGAAAAATTTACTTTTTAATATTTTTTTCTTTCTTTAAAGAAATATTGATATAGAGATGGGACATAATTTTCAGAATTTTTATCTTGTACATCCTGCAGTAATACTCAAGCAAATCTAAAAAATAAATGAGAGATTTTTGCAGGCTTTATAATTCATTAGAGGCTTGCTTTTTTTGTCAACAATGCCAAATATAATATTTTCTTTTATAAAATTTCAATCATATTTTGAGAAACTTGAAAAATAAAAGCTGCTCACGTATTATTTTATATTAACATAATCTCTTGTACAGTGCATTTCTGGGACACAATTAGGAGTTAAGAAAACCTGAAAAGAAAATAAAGAATGACAATATACTTTTATATCAGAAAATTTTGTGATAAAGTTAGAAACACAGTGACTTTTGATTTCAACTCGCTACTCTTCATGTATCCTAAAAGTGCAATTACACAGACCCTAAAATGTTCAGCTCTAGGCCCTGTATAGGTTAAGCATTTAACATTACTAAGTTACAGGTTGTTTAATTTCTCAGACTACCGAATTACAGAATGCTTGAGGTTGGAAATGACTGATGGAGATCAGCTAGTTCAATGTATCTGCTCGAAACAGTGCTGTTAACTCAGGGTTTTCATCCTTCAAATACAGAAGATTCTGACACCTCTTTGGGTAACCTGCTTCTGTGTTCAACCAGTCACTCTCACATGAAAAAACATTTTATTATGTTCAGATGGCATCACCAGTGTGTTGTGTATTTATATGGGTAAGATCTTCTGTCCTTTTGTTTTCCAGGCCGGACAGTCCTAGCTCTTTCAGCCTCTCCTTGCATATCAGATGCTTCAAAATCCCAGTGGTCCTTTGCTGGACTTGCCCCAGTTTGCCATGACTTTTACACTGGGGAACTCTGAGATAGGCCCAGCACTCCCGAATGTAAAGTACAAATCACAAAATTCATTAACATTCTCTCCTGTTATGTTGTAACTGCATTAAGCCTTCTAAATCACTTTCTTATGAATCACTTTTTTGTTGCTGTTTAGAAATGGGACAGCTGAAGGGCTCTTGTTGGTCCAAAGTATCCTGATGGGTTCTTATTTTGTTGTTTGTTTCTTTGGTTTGGTTTTCCACTTTTTTTGGTTTCTTTTCATTTCAGAGGAAACAAATGTATGACCCAATAGAAACTATTTAGCTTGGAATTTCCTAGCACATCGGGACTCACATAAATGCTGTAAAAATAAAACAAGGAGATACTGGTAACCAGTTTCTTTGCAAAGCCTCAGCTAGAAAATATTTATCATCCCACATGAGGCTACACCTACAGGCTCAACAGAGCTAAGAAACAAGTATGGATGTGCTGAGCAAAATAAGGAGTGGTCTTGACATGTTTTCAGGGAGTTTCTCCACTAACCTGATTCTAGGCTTATCCACATTATCTGAAGGATGATTTGCTTCAGAATAAGATCAAGCTTGTGAATGAAGTGCTTTTCAAGTTTAGTTTTGTTGTAAAAAAATCAATTTCATGTGTCCCAAGATAGCTGTCAATGTGAACCAAAGTAGGTGGAGATATCTGGGATGTTCACTTCAATGATGTAAACCACCTCCAAGGCCCAGAATTGATTCAACTACAAAGGCCTAAGAACAAGAAGTCTAGGTCACTTGATGATCTTTTCATTCTGAAATTTAGCTTGTAAGACAATTTGAGAGGAAATTAATTTCTGATGCATCATCCACTGTTTGTTGGACCAACAGTAATGGTACAATACTTTAGTGGGGAATTAAGAACTTTTTTTTTGCTGGAAATCATTCTTTCTGGCATCATGTCGAATTATTGGTGTTTCAGACAGAAAGTTTATTTGAAATGGCTGAACAACCACATCAACTTTCATTAGCAGTTAACTGACTAGAAATTCACATAAAGGAAGTGCACATTCAGTGACATTTCCAAGCTAGTAATGTAACTTCTATTCGCTAAATATTTTTTTCTTTAATCTGTGCCCTTATTGAAAAGCCATTTGACTAATGGGTGACTAGTAACTTCAGTAGTTTACATCAGACCTAACTATTGAGACTTGCTCTGCAGATACCTTATGTAGGAGCAGAAATACAGCAAATATCAGCAAGACTTTAAAGCTGTAAGGAATAAGGCTGCAGAAGTCCATAAAAATCACCACAATAAAGTAAACTTTTTGTTT